GATCCAGAATATATAAGCGGTAAATCAAAGAAAGGAATGAAAAATTTTCTTAACCATGTGGCAATACTTTAATACATAAAGTTCGCTGTTTAGTTTTTTCAAGGAAATTAAGTGGATCGAAATCGAATTTTGCACAAATACAGAGTCATAATTGTGAATTAAATGCTAAAACAAATATTTTCCAAATTGACATTATTTATATCTAGTAATACTGCCAGATAACTAGTAATTATTAATTCGCATGCTAAGCTAAAAATAAAGATATCATCAAGCCCTTAGTATATTTATCACACGGTAAATTAAATCTTACGGAAGTTCAAAGAAACTGTACTGAGGACTGATGCGTCTTGATAGAAACTGATTTCAGTGAGTTGCCTAAAAGATTATAAATAATATATTCGGACATCTTGATAGGACTAAGCTATAAAGTATCACATATCTACTTCTTAACTGAGATAATAAGACAACAAGACACATTAACCAATGCTTTTGAAGCGACCTAACACTTCCTCTTTAGTTTATTCTAAACAGTGATACTATTATTATTTTAAAGCCAGTTTGCATTTGAAGCAGCTTAAACGTTAGTAGCAAAAGTGGCAATTATAATTGATAACTGAAAACCTATGAAATCGGATTAATTAAGTAATTAATCTTTCACATAGCTCAACTTGAATGATATTTAACTCCATAGTTTCCTTATTATTTATTGTAATTAAAGTATTATGCTCGATTTTAACAAGTGAACTATCGGCATCACATGGTCCGATCAAGTCCAGCTATCCTTGTACTTTCTTCATGTATTATGTCTTACTTGGCCGGCAGGTCTCCGCAGTTAGACAAACCGAGTCGGCGGAACAGTTGACTGCCCTTAGCTATCGGGCCAAAATCCAGCACTGACTGATCAAGTCGGAAATCAGCAGCCTTACAGAGTCCCGTGACAGAAAACACTGGAACCACGGCTCCACCAGTCTCTTTTCTTCCACTATCGCAGCTTATGTCTTCCGGTGGCACAACAGGTGGCTTACCGGGTAGTATCGTTTCTCTAACCTCCCGAGGAGCCAGTTTACGGTTTGTACCGTTGTTTTTCTTAACCTGTCTGTTTGACGCATCCTCTGCTCCAAGTAATGTGCGACATTTGTCACTGACTGTTTCACGTGCGTTACTTCCTCCCATAGCTGAGCTCAAAGGTATTTGGAGAACTCCAGAAGGCATATCGCCCGACATTAATGGCACACGGCCTATGTTGCAGAGCACCTCCTCGACAAAACCTGGTTCAGGCACTCGGCAACGTGGACGAAACATCAGTTCTATACAGACCTTGCCACCGTTTGCTGGAAGCAATGTCTGCCGGGGAGTAGAGTACTCTTTTGTTTGACCTATTATTGAATAAAGAAGTAATAAAAGGATTAGCATCTCTCCCTACAATAAAACTAAGGCTTGTACGGTATATACCGAAACAAAAACAGTGTTTTCTTAATCGAAGGTATAAAGACCAAGATGGTGTGGCCTTTTGTGTGGTCGCAGTCTCCTTTCGTTGAATAG